TATTATTATTATTATTATTATTATTATTATTATTATTATTCAGTTGGCTCCGACCCAGAGTTCGCCCGTTATGTAGCTGGGGTCAGCCAAGCTATGCAACAGAAAAGGCAAGCACAGCACGTTCGTCGCCCAAGCAACACACGTAGCAACTGGCTTCTTCCTGATGATCCTCACAGAACCTGGCCTTTTCCTGAGTATTTCACAGAAGGGTAAGAGAAATCATACTGGTGGCATCCTATCGATGTCGGGCACGTTTTACCAGAGCCCTGACAACTTCCATAATGTCCCTGTATAAAACACAAGTTTAACCTGGCATAGGAGTTCTTTAAATTACTAGGCATAAATTATTAGCCGTCTGTTTTACATTCCAGTAACTGTCCACATAATACATTCTCATTTCTACGTGTCTCTTGCTCAGTGCTTTGACTAGATCCTTTATTGCCTTAGCAACTTCCATAGGATGTGTCTAGCCTCATCTATCCTCATGGCCCTCCATGCCAAGGTGGGTCTCTATAAAGGCCAGTTTGTCCAGCCTCAGAAGTGATCTAGTTTTTATTTTTCAACACCTTTGCCAACCCAGAAAAAGTGGTGACAAGTTTTTATCCCTTGTCTATTCTTTGTTTACCAGTAGTCCACAAGTTTTGGGTGAGCAGTGAGCTGCCACGAGCCCCGCACTTTCATTGATGCCATAGGCAATCCCATTTTGGCCCACTACAAATACCGAGCTGCTTGTGTGCTCTTCAGTTACCAGAGCTGAATCAGCCCAGTCTTTGTGGCACGGGCAGGAGGTAGTACTGCCTGGAAGGTGGCCTTCCTCAGACTTGCTTGATCTCAAACAAGTCATGTCCTTCTGATGGCCTAACTCCAGCTTTAGATGACCATCCAAGGTGCTGTTTTGCCATGGGTAAAAGCTCAAATACCTGACAGCTGCTTTATCTGTTGGTTATACAAACTAAGGATGATGATAAATTTTAGTCCTTTCTCCTGGTTAAGTGCCTTAGCTCTGGGTCTGACCCAGTTGAAAGCCTTTGAGCAGTATCATATAGCTTTCAGTACTGGGAGTCAGTATGTTGCACCTACTTGCAGACCCTGATCCATCTGTAGAGGCAGATGAAAAAATCAGAAATAGGCAGGAAAACTGTCATCATCATCATGTCACAAAATAAAAATAGTAGTTCCTCTTGATCCAGGAAGGATCTGCATGAGGGAGAAAAGACCCCTGAGATCCCTCAGCACATATCAGCAATAGAATGGAACCAATGGTTTTAGCTCCAGCACTACCCTCCAACCGTAAGGCTTGCACAGGGCCAAGGATTTCTGTGGAAGCTTGAAGTGACTCGGTACCATCCAGTACTGAGATGCATAGGTCAGAGTACAGGAGGTAGAAAGAGCACCCTGCCAGGAAGCCATTCGGGGAATACAATTCACTAGTTTCAGCTGGCTGAAGGGTCGATGTTGTAACCCTCCTTTATGATGATTAAACTGTTTGGTGAAAAAATAGCTTTACAGCTGTACAGCTCTACAGCCGTGCCCAGCCCAGTCAAAGTAGACTGCACCTTCCATAGCTCATTTTGCAGACCTTTTGGCACCAAAATGCTTTCCAGCGCTAGAGGCTAAACTGATTGCTGTCAGCATTTCCTCCAGGACCAGTAATGCTTTAAGAAGTCAGTTTCTCCTAGGAGCAGATCCCATAGAGAGAATTCCCCAACATGTCAGAGAAAAGGGATTCTACAGCAGCTACTTCCTAGTACAAGAAAGGCGATTGTTAGCCAATCTGGGACCTAAGAGAGCTCATTGTGTTTGCAAGCCCAATTCAAGAGGGCAAGGATTTTTGTGGGTGATATCTTCATCCCGATTTTTTTATTACAGCCATGCAGTTTGTCCATTAAAAGATATTGTCAACAAAAGTGCTTGCCTCACACAATTTGTGAACCATCACAACTACATCATTAACACTGTTGATGCAAGGCAGTCATTCTGGTGGCAATAATATCCTCCCTATATCAAGGAAACTGGTTTGTATCCTTTGGCCAACAGGCTGCGTATCCTCATGTCACAATAAGATGTTCCCACAAAAAGTACTTGATTTGTGGTAGGTTGGGACCACTATCAATTCAGGGTCCTGCTGCTCAGTCTATAAACAGCTGTAAAAGTTTTTCATCAGTTTCCTCTCAGAAGTGGGCACCCATACACAAAAGCAAGTGATAGCGTACCTCAACAACTGACTTGAGAGTGAATTAGGTTTCAGACAACCTACAAAGGTCTGCGGATCTATTTATCCATCATAGTTGATTGGGGCTCCTAATCAATCATAAGAAACTGACCTTGGCGCCCATCCAGACTTATCCAGTTCTCTAGGGGTTTGCCTGGATTACATTTGCAAGGACTGTGCTCCTACAGGACTGCTTTCAAACACCGAGGGAACTTATCCTATTGATTGAGAAATGTCCATCAATAAGTGAGGATTGTCTGTGCACATGGTCCCCTGCACCCTTTTGATGCCACAGGATCCCGTGAAGACATGTCTGTGTGCAAATTCTTTCCCGGGGAAGAGACCCACTGGATCAATTGGTTACAAACCCAGGCTGAACCTCATAGATAACAGGTTATAACAACCTTTCCATAAGCTTGGTTGGGGCTAATCTGGCCAGTCTTGGCCTCTCCCATCAATCGGGATGGTATGTGTTCTCCCTCAGTTTCCTTAAGGGCTTGTCTAGGGATTTCCCTCAGACCAGTCTTGCAGCAGAACTTAAATCTGATTCTCATGTTCCTAATAAGATCACTGTTTGAAATGATGACAATAAGATGTCAGTTGCTTCTCTCCATAAGAACTTTCATGGTTGCAATTCCATCAGTAATGAATGCGTGAAATCATAAAACTTATAGTAATACCTTTTAACCAGATAAAGTAACTCTAAGAACCCATCCCGTGTCCCTGCCCAGAATCAGAATTTCATTTGGGGCAGTAGGTTAACAAACTGGTACTCTTCTCAAATCCTTTGTCCTCCTGTGCCAAGGCTTTGCTATGTTTTCTATATGTGAAGAAGTCACTGTCTTTACATAAAAGCTGTTCACTGTTCAGAAAGTCTCTCTGGCTGTTAGTATCTATAGCTGAGAGGTCTAAAACCACAGTGCTCTCATCTAAGAGATTATCTAAATGGATATTGGGCTATGTAAATTTATGCTCCAAGACCACCACGGTAAACCCAGCACATTCCACCAGAGTCCTGTCGGCTTCCGTTGTGTCCCTGCCCAGGATTTCGTAGAATCATAGAAAATGAGGGTTGGAAGGGACCTCAAGAGGTCATCTGGTTCAACTCCCTGCTCAAAGAAGACAATCCCCAAGTAGATCATTGCAGCCATGGCTTTGTCTAGCTGGGTCTTAAAAACTTAACTGATATCTATAACTGATATCTTCTTGTTGCTAACTGCAGCTCCATTCATATCTTTTATCACAGAGTCGTAGAAAAGTGTAGAGCTAGAAGGGACCTCAGCAGGTTTTCTAGTCAGGCCCCTTGCTCAAGACAGGATCATCCCTGACTAAATTGCCTCAGCCAAGCATCAGTCACACCTGCTCTTAAACTTCCAAGCATGGTGATTTTACAACCTCTCTAGGTAGTCTCTTCCAATGCTTAACCACCTTCATAGTGAGAGAGGTCTTCCCTGAAGCCTATATGTCCTCTAGCGCAGTTCAAGATCATTGCTTTTTAGTCTCATCTCCTACAGTAGAAGAGAATTTACAGACTGTCAAAGAGGGACTGTCTTCTCTTCTCTAGACTAGACAGCCATCCACCAGTCTGTATTTTATATGCAGTTATTCCATCCTAAGTGTAGGACTTTGCACTTGTCCATGTTGGATTTCATCCAGTTGATTTCAAACCATTTCTCCAGTTTATCCAGCTCATTCTGAGTTCTAGACATATCCTCCAGAGTGCCTGCAATTCCACCAAAGTTGGTGTTGAGTTAGTGAAGTATTAGGTTACTGCAGAAGACTAATGCAGATGCTGTGCTTGGCAGAATGGTCCTCCAGTCAATATTAACCGAGAAGAACTCTTAAAAAAAGGTGAAAACTTTTTTTTTTTTAAAGTTCTGTCTGGGACGGTAGTCAAAACTGGTTTAAATCACTTGAGACTGTTTCCTCAAAACAAACATTTTCAAACAGGGTCAAAATCTTTTTTTTTTTTTTTCTGTCGTCATTGGGCACTGGCAGCAATTGTATTGCATCAAAATACAATCCAATTCTTGCTGTCAAAGCCAGCAAAGTAGTAAAATTAAAGTAGCACTGTAAAACTCTGTGAAGAGTTTTGTTAGCGATGTTGAAAACAAATTGGAAGAAAAAATTAAGTATTTTCGCAAGGACCAGAAAGCAACAGGGGATGATTTATTTTATAAGCTCCACTTGTGCCTCATGTCATGAACTGTCTGCGAAATGATGTACCTAATGCTGTGAAGGCTGTCCTTACTCATGTGAGAAGTTTGGAAATACTTCCAAAACAACCATTTTGCCAGAGGTCATGTTAACAGCTGTAAGGGATCCAAATGCAAGGAGAAACGGTGATATCCCTTGAATCTTTATATAAAAATTGTAGACAAACACGAGCAACATTTAGGACAACACAATCGCAATCAGTATCAACATACAGCTGTACAGAGGCCATGCACCTGTATCAGGAACTGAAACCAAGGGCAGTTGCTCAATTGACCTCAGACCCAGCAAGCCACAATTGCAAATGTAATGCATAATAAGTGGCCACTGATGTGCAACAAAGATCAGAAACCACACACCAAGCTAATCAGGTCTAAATGCAATGATTGCGTGACCCCATCTCATTTGTTAGCTTACACCTTTCATCCACAGTACATGAGGGTGAAGTAAAGTGCAGAATGAAAAGCTGCTGCTCAACAGTGGGCTTTGCAAAAAATAAATCTCAACTTTTTGCCCTTGATCATTTTAATTTTGACATAAGATGCGACAGGTTTACAATAACGAATCATTCAGAATCTTTACTGTTATATCTTAAAGGCTGGATAGCCACGGTGATAACTGACATTTTAAAGTTAGCTCCAATGTATCCCCTCGCTGCTACTTTTTACACAGTTAGGGTTTTAGTCTCCACTTCCTGACATTTAGCATGAAGCAAATCTTTTAACAGTTGGTGGTATGTATTCCAGAAATGAATACTAATTTCTTGTTTTCTTCTCACAGCGATGTAACAAACAGCTGGTCTGGTACTCAAGGAGACTCTGCCAGTTCAAGCGATGAGACCTCCTCAGCTAACGGAGACAGTCTCTTTTCCATGTTCTCAGGGCCAGACCTTATTGCTGCAGTCAAGCAGAGAAGGTAAACTGCGATGTACAAATGCCATTTCCAGATCACCTTAACCCTAACTTTATAAAATTGGTTAGACAAAGAGGTTCTCATTGTGTGAAGTATTCAGTGAGGTTGATTGAGACAACCATGCGAGTTGGAACATGTTAGCCACATAGGATACTCCCTTGGGTCCATTGACCAAATCTTTACACCAATGACCCTTGCATCTGCTTCTCTAATTAATCTCTTTATTCAGTCCAGAATATTTGTGACACTTCCTTTGTCTGTCTTCTTTTAATGCACCTATTTTTCTCACTGCACCCACATGCAACACTCTTTTCACTTCCCTAGTAATATGACCAAGTTTCTATTTTTTTTTTTCTAGGATGCCTTATTTTCAACTCATTGAAGAGATTGTTGTCTAGCTAGGCTAATCTCCTGTTGCACTTCTCATTCTAAGTATTAATACTTTTCCAAGTTCCCCAACTAGTAGCTTTTATAAAAAATCACTGTTTCATAAATATTCTTTTGTTTCATTGCTGGGCAAAAAGCACTCCAGTTAAATATAATCAAAGCTATCGAATGTACAGTGTAAGTAGTTTGATCCTGTAGTCATAGTGATCTGTTTCTGATAACAGTAGCTGAAAATGTTTTAAAGAACACAGTCGCTTTTTAAAATGATCAACTACAGTCAATGTCTTAACTGTTTTGTAGAAAACACAGTAGTGGTGAGCAGGAACCCAGCACGCTACCATCACCACCTCTTCTTTCTGCAGTAGATGACCGTAATCAGGTAAGCTGAAAACTGCTTTTTGTATATGCTAACTAGGGTTATTTAACAAGAGACGAAAAACTACACAACTTCATATAGCCCCGAAGACTGCTGATCACACTTTAGCTTGTTTTTGTTGTCCTGAACTGAATTAACACTATTTTGCATGAGTGGGGATTTAAGTTTCAACAAAACTGCTAAGCTTGTATTAAAACCTTTTATAAAAAATGACTTTTGCCCTGTTGCTCATGTAAACAAAAATAAAAACAATATTGCATATTAGCCTAACCAGAAACTCGTTAATCAGCTCAAGCTGTAGTGCTCTGCTGATAGGCTTGCCCAAACTGTTCCACGATGTAGGGAGAACTGAGACATATTTCTTGCATGTTTCCCAGCAGTGCTCTTCTTTTCCCCTTGCTTTCTGTATTTTAATGGGATAAAGCAGGGATAAAGATGGGGCAATTGGGATGCTAAAATAAACAAACCAGAAGAGCACAGAGATGAGCACTGCTTGTAGACTACCAAGCAGTTTTTTGGTTTTTTTTTAAATGACAAATTTAAAACCAGAGTCCTGGATCAGACTGTGGGGTAAGCAGCTATATTCAAAGGTTAGTTTTATTAAAGCTCTTCAACCTATGTCCAGAGAGGCCTGCATAGCCATGTGGTTTAGGTCACTAGTCATTTTTACTAATCTAAAAAAAGAAGGCATCAAGTAATCTTTATAAACTGGCCAGAAAGCTTAAAGAAAAAAGGCCAGAATTTTTTCAGGCATTTGAAAAAGAATGTGCCAGTGAGCAAATGCTACAAAAACATTTAGTTTAAAAAAAAAGAAGTATTTTGTTTGCAGCTTTTCTGTAGCTGTTCCTGTTGTAAAGAATTTAAGTAAATCAACCTTCTTAAGTGGGGTAAGCAATAGTGAAGCATGGTATCCAAGGCAGTATTTTTGGTTTTTAAAAACAAAGCTGAATTTTTGTCTTTACAGGATAATAAAACCAAAACCTGGCCCCCTAAGGCTCCTTGGCAGCATACTTCACCTGTCACAAATACACTGCCCAGTCAGAGTACGTCACTGTATCAGATGAGCAACCCCGTTAGCCAATGGAATGACACGATGCAGATTCTACAGTCACCAGTTTGGTCAACAGCCAATGACTGTGCTCCATCAACAGGGATTTCCTCCAGTTTTGCCTATGCCCAGCAACAACAATCGTCACAGCAGCAGGCTTCCCAGCACAAACAGCTAAATAAGGGCTTTAAATCTTTTCCAGTAAAGCACGAACGCAGACCATCTTACCTGCATCAATACTAATTGCTTCTCACATTGGAAAGATGCAGCATAGGGCCAAACAGTCTTATAAATGATGTATATTATCTGTTTCACAGTTCTGTGTACTGGCTGTGTTCTGGTTATTTTATTTTGAAATGTAGAGTGAATTTTTTTGGTGACATACATAACCTTTTGACTTATTTTACAGTGCTGAATAAACAGGGCCAATATATGTGTTATATGTACATGAAAAAGTCCAATACTGTGATGTAGAAATGCTTTTAAAAACTTGTGTATATTGCAGTTACTTTCAAAATCCTTTTTTAAAAAATACTGAAAGACTACCATAAAGCACTGTATTTTATAGCTATTTTCATATAGATTTATATAGGTAAACATCTCTTGCTAAAATGCATTGAATATTTTTTAGCAAATATATTGGTCAATTCTGCTCAGCACTGTTATTTAGATTTCTAATAGACAAGTTGTAAAGTCTTCATACTCTGAGTAAACAGCCTGTGATGACTTTTTTAACAAAGTAAGGCAGCAGCTTTTAATGTACCACACAAGTGGGTGTACGACAACAGTGTTGGAAAGACACTGGGTTTGTGGTAATTTCGTAATATAAGTATAGATCAGCTAGAACCACTCAAATTCATCACGAAAACTGTCTTGGCTGCCTAAGGTGTAAGGTATTTGTGTGGGTCAGATTATGTTGATTTTCACATATACGATTTAAAAATACTTCATGTGGCCAAAGGCATTATCCACACAGTGCTCCTTAAATGTGCAGAAGTACAGCTTAAAAGACTACTTGCATATATTTAAAGTCTTATTTCAATGCTATGGTTAGAGTGAAAATTGTGAGCTGGCTCAGAAGAAACTAGAACTAAAACGTG